AGGCCCTCCAGGCTGGAGTCCAGCAGGGTGTATCGCCTCAGACAATGAGGTTGCACCGCCAGTGCAGGCCCCTCAAGGATTCATTCACGATGGGGCCTTCAAGCGATGAGGCCTTTTGGCGGGGCTCTAACTTCCGGTTGTTGAGCTTGGAAGCTGACGTTCTCAAGGAGTCAACGTTACATTGAAGAAGAGCGTGACTGCGATGGACCACCAAAACCCAACTCCAATGACGAAAACAGCGTCAAGTGCACAATTTCTTGTTGGTACATGTACTTTGGAGTACAACAAACACATCGTACCCAGAATTCTTAATTAAAAGCAGCAGTAGATTATTTTAATATGAAAATAGTATAATAGATTAGACGTTAATCCAGTGTCTACTGGAGTGTCCTCATCACATGACTTTCAGATATGTAAGGACGGGCAGTCCACAGGATCCATTGTTTTTCCCCCTGCCCCTTTAATTTACTCCACTTAGGCAAAGTATAGTTTTCTGTGTCTCTCAGGTAGCTGCACCGTTCTTACTACTTGACAGTACTTCTACAGGAAAGACTACCGTACTTCACAAAAAATTCTGCGCCGAATCCGCCCAAATTATTTTGAAAGGTCACTATTTTTTTACACCAAGAAAACAATTTGAAACCCCATCTACATGTACCAACAAGTTTTGCATGCAATGGGTGCTTACTCCCTGATTACACGGGAGAAAATGAGGAGATTCCTGTTGTAAGATGCTTCAAACGCGGAGTGGGTAAATGTACAAGAGGCACAAATTAAGAGCAACTTTTTAAATTAAAAAGCAGAAACGCTTAGTAAGGAATGTGTATACGTTGCAATTAAATAGCTGAATCTTAACAAGAAGGCATGTCCTCGAGCTGAAAGTGCCATATAACTTAAGAATTTTTGCAATTCGTGATTTCGCCATAGCATTCCTTTTTTGAGGTACGGTAATGCCGTGTTTTACACGGGGAAGCACTGGGTTTTGTTTTACGTTCTTGCACCGGTTCAAAGACGTTATACAGACACACATTTATTGCGCCAGCTTCACAGCCGCAGTATAGGCGCTTTGAAGAGGCTTCTCTTTGGACGACATTCAGCCAAGTACATTACTTCGGCTCAGCGTAGTTTACTGATGGTGTTGCTGTGGCCGCCAAAGGCAACATCCATCTTATTATAAACAATCTTGTCTGGTTATATAATACTTATCTTGTCTGGTTATATAATACTAAGTATTTTTTTTTGGGTTTTGTTAGGTATATTGTGTTACTGCTCCAAATGAAGAGAACTCTAATATCCATTCTAGGTGGCTAGTTCATCCTCCCTAGTATCGTGCCTCCGCTTTAATCATCCTCCGACACTGCTCCTTTCAATTCCTCCATTTTTCTTCCCAGGGTGACCCACTGCTTGCAGTCATCGTCCATCCTGCTGAGCACACCGTCCTCCAGCCTGTTCCCCTCAGCAATTTGGAGCCAATTGACTTCCGCGCTTGCTCTGTTATCCATCGCGTAGTTAGCCAACCATTCGGCCATCTTGTTATGTTGTCTATAGTGGTGTGTCCAAGATTGTACTTCACACAAGTCTGCCAGCCTTCTCGTCAAACGGTACCAATGCAGTAGTCTCTTGGCTTTGGGTTGTTTCCTCCTTTGCAACATGCTTAGCACCATCGCGCTGTCACCCACCACATGCAGCCTCTTCCATTCCTGCTCCACCGCTCTGCTCAGACCTCGGTGAAGGCCTACTATTTCTGCTACGTTGTTGGTGGTCCCTTTGTTTGCCAACGATGTTGCAGCAGCCCACACCGGTCTCACTCTCCCATGAGCGTCCAAAACTTCCACAACAACGCTCCCGCTTCCTCCGGGTCCTGGGTTACCTCGTGACCCTCCGTCAAAGAATAATACTCTAGTCACTTCAACGTCCACTCGAACATCCCTCCACGCTACTTTTTGTGTCATCATCCTCAGGATGTGATTAACTACAGTGAGCCGTTGGTAAGAATTCGTCGTCAAGGGAAAGAGCCCTGCCCGATATCTCCTCAATGTTTCAAGTATTTGAGCCCTGGTGCGTCTCCTGCATTGCGCTAATTGTTCCGTAGCACCCAGGTCGGGATGGACTATATCAATTCGTCGTCTCCAGATAGCTGTTAATACAACCGAACACCCGATGGCCCACATCTCGTTGACTGTTTGCTGCAATTGGTCCCAAATTTCCAGCTTTTGATCCTTTGCCCACTCAGTGATCCACGTTGGCAAATACTCCATTTCCATGGAGAAAACTGCACGTATTGTTACCGGGTCCTCTCCTAACCCCAGTCTCGTGTGCGGGTACGAGAACCTCCACATATCCAGTAGATCTTCCCACAGCGCTGCCGCTGCTGGACATCTCCAAGCTAGGTGTTCTTCGCCACCGCATGCTGTCTCCATACACCCCTCTTCCAGACACTGGAAGCGGCCATCTCCTCCTGTCCATACTGTTAGATGTCTACACTTTAATCGAGTCCACGTCTGTGCCTGGTAGGCCGTTACCCCTTCAAGATTTTGAATTCTTTTTCATGTGAGCTCCTCGAGCGCGTTTGCGATCTCTGTATTGACTTGTTTCCATTTTTTCTGCGCCCTCCGCATCGCGATTTGTGCCTCCTGCTTCCGACGTCGATTGATAATATTCTTGTACTGTTTCCTGGACTGCGACCACCTACGGTTTCCTGTCCACAGCAGTCTCAGCTTGGTGGTCCACGGATGTGGGGAGATCCATACTTCTTCTTGCTTCACATTCAACGACGTAGCGACCACATTCTCCACTCCTGTGTGAAGTCCTTTGTCAACACGCGTCACACATAGTTCTTGCGTGCTGGAACCCCAGGAGTGTAGCACGGTATCGGATTGCCACTCCTCTGCCTGTGGATTTAGCTCGAAGATGTGATGCTTGTCAGATAGCCTGTGATGCACATCCAGCCAGTTATCCTGCCGACGAACCGCCCCCAGTTCCGGGTATGCGGCAAATATGCACAGACACAATTCCCTGAATAGGTGGGCAAGACCACTTGCCATCGGAATCCGAAGTGTTACTGGTTTGAAGGTGACTGCCTCGTTGCTACCAGTCGAAATGATCATCACGTCCTGAACAGGCATTGTTTTTGCTTGCAAGCCCAATTTCCCCATTTTACTCCATTTGAGTCGCTCTCCTGTCGCTGTCCACAGCTTGAGATCAATTATCGAAAGATGATGGACGGTGCTATGATTGAACAGCCCTCGTTGCTGTATTCTGTCCCTTCGTCGCCCTTTAACTTCTTCCTTCAGGTTTCCTACGCACTCCAGCAGCAGCCCATCTTTGGTCCATTTCGTCCTCAGCCCATTTTGATACTTAAGGATAGCCCGCAGTTCCACAGTTGCCTTGTCGTCCTCTTCTCCATGTACTCCGGAACCACCTAAGAGGTACGATACCCATGGCCTTCCCGTCTCCCACATGGACTTAAAGATCACCTTCTTTGGGGCGATTTGTATTGGGACCAGGTGATCCGCTGTCCCAACGCTCTCCACTTGAAGTATTGACCCGGCAGTCTGTGCCATGTGTCCATCTCGTAAAGCCCATTGACCAACTGTTGACGCGCTCATTGCTACCAACTCCGTGTCCAGATTCGGAATTCCCAAGCCCCCCGAATGTGAATCCAGCTCTGCGACCGTCGCTGACATCCATCCCTTTGGCGTCTTTCCTGGGTCCCCAAAATTGGAGTTCCAGACGAAATTTCTGATGCATCTGTCTGCTTCTCGCCGGAGCTCATCTGTTGGTCATGTATGTCTCGCCACATACAGTAACTTCGGAATCACTATGGCTGAGGCTATAGCTGCCCGCTGCTGGATCGTGTTTGTCTTGACTGCAGCCATCGCGAGCCTGGAACGAACCGCCGCAATTGCTTTCTTCCATAACGCCGTGGTGGTATCCCTGCCTCCTACGTAATGTCCCAAGTACCTGACACTGTCCATCTCGGCAACCAGATCCTTTGTTCCCGTGCTACCCTTTGTTGTTCCTAGCGTCACTGCTGTTGACTTCATAACATTAAGTCGAAGACCAGCAACAGCCGAAAAACGCCCTACTGCTTGAATCGCCTCCTGTTGCTGATCTCGACTGGCAATATATATCAGTGTATCATCAGCATAACCAGCAACCTTGAGTATCTCGACACCATGCGATTCATCATACCCTACATTCTGCTCCGTTTGACATTGCAATTCGATCCCTTGCAGGTCTTGGGTGTGCTCAATCTCATCATAATTCTGCTCCGTTTGACATTGCAATTCGATCCCTTGCAGGTCTTGGGTGTGCTCAATCTCATCATAGAGCGGGTCAACTGCTATGATGAAGAGAAGTGGAGCCAACGGGCAGCCTTGCCGAATTCCACTGGTCACCGACACTGCTCTTGAAAGTTCTCCATTTGCCAAAACATTTGCAGTGGTCCCTTCATGCATTGCTTGTATAGCCCGACAACACTTCGGTGGAACTCCTTTAGCTTGAAGTACTCTCAGCATAAAGCAGCGATCCAGTGAGTCATATGCCTTTGCGAAGTCCAACATCAGTACTTGTGCGTCACCTAGGTCTTCTCTGTGGTGCGCTACTGTTTTCGCTGCCTCCAGCAAATCAATCGCTCCGTGAATTGTTCGCCCTGGGACAAATCCGAATTGCGTTGAGTGCACCATTCGAGCCAAATATTCTCGAAATCTGTGAGCCAGGATCCTGGTGAACACCTTGTAATCTGAATTGAGCAGAGCTATTGGACGATAGTTTAGTGGGTCACTTCGTTCTCCTCCCTTGCTGATGCTGAAGATATTCGCTTCCAAAAAAACTGGGCGGCACCTGTCCTGTATCCATGCACGCATTGCAGAGTTTGGTAAGGATTGGGGTGAGTGCATCGCGGTGGTCTCGATACCAGTCGTTTCCGAGATTGTCAGGTCCACAGGCCTTGCCTTGTTTACATTTCTTGATCGCGTCCAAGACTTCTTCCTCCGTGATCACCTCGTCCAGCGAGGTGAGGTCATGCTGTGTCCACTTCCCAGAAAAATTAGCAATGTAAGCGTCGATGTCCTTCTGGTTGCTTTTGCCCCGTTCAGGATTGCCGTCCAGTTGTCCGCAAGAATGTCTGCCTGCTGATGCTCGCTTCTGTGGACTCCGTGAGCTATCTGTCGCAATCTTGGTATGATTGTATCTCCAAACTTTGTGCAAATCCGCCTGAAGAAGAATCGAGTGGATGTCTTTGTGTTCCACCTTGATCTAAAAATCAAAGCCCTTCTCCTTACCAGACGCCTGGTGTCTTGGACAGCCTGCAGCTCCGCCAATATTTTCCTCGATTCATTATACTGCTCCTCCTTCTCATACTGCAACTTTGCAAGCTGTTGCTTTAACCTTTTGATTTTCTGCCGAAATCCGCGCGTCGTCCGTTGTCTGGCCTCCTTGGTTAGCACCGTCATTTCGTTGGCTAAGCTGCTCTTGAAGCTGTCCCATTCCTTAGGTAGTTCCAGCGCAGGAATCCGGTTTATCTGATTCTCAAAGACTCCCAGTTTGCTCTGAATGAGACTTCGCATTGCTGTTTCTACGTACGCAGGAGCTGGATAGAGCTTGCTTGTCTTACGCAGCCTGATTGGTCCTCCTGGGGGATGCATCTCCAATAGAACTGTCCTGTGGTCGGATTGACACGCTGGTTCAGCCACTGTGATTCCTCTGACCATTTGTAGAGCTTGTGGCTCGACATACCAACGATCTAGTCTCGAAGTTACCAGCTCTCCACTTTGCAACCGATGCCGATATGTATGATGTGTACTCGCATGACCTTCTTGATCTCGGCTGTTCGTCTCATGTTGGTGATCTGCATCTATCCATCCACAGCTAGAAACTAGCCCTTGTAGTTCTCTCGCCCCTTGGTCGTCCTTGTCCATTCTTCCCGATCTATCCATCGTGTCTAAGACACAGTTGAAGTCTCCCCCGCAGATCACCTCCTCGTCCGGTGGGAACTGTAGTCGCTTCATCTTGATGTAGAAATTCACTCTATCCCCTCCATCCGACGGTGCGTATACATTTACTAAGAGAAACTTCTTCCCACCCATAACCACTGACACCATGATAAGATGCTCGCTCCACTGGTCTTCTTTCCATGGTTGAGGCAGTGAGGCTGCTCCATATGGGTTTAGGAGGATAGCCACTCCCGCTTTCCTGCTCCCCACCACACCTGAAGCCCAAAAGGATAGATCCTGTGCCGCAGCCATCTTGAGGCCCCACATTGCTGCATATTGCCCTGCTGCATATCCATGTTCTCGAGCGTTTAAGTGGGTTTCCTGCAGAAACATCACGTCCTTTTGGCCTCTGTCGTGGCTCTCCTTGAACTCTTGTAGCGTTTCGCTTAGCCTTCTAATATTTGTTGCAAGTCCTCTCACGTTTGCTGTAACAAAACCAATCGTTCGATCCTGTTGATGCTGACTCTGGTGATGTAGTATCTTCCTCGGTCTTCGTCGTTTTCGTTGAACGGCCTTCCTCAAAACCTTGAATCCAGCCTGCACTCTGTTTTTGTAGGTTTTATCGCGTACTGTTTTGTAGAACGAATCCAATGTCAGTTGGGTTTGTCTACCTGTCACTTGCTTCTTCACCACTACGTATTCTTCTTTAGGGACCCTCATCATACTAAAGAGAGTCACCGACCTCCTCTGAGTCTTCCTTCGTCGTGTTGTTCTGCACAGTCGCGTCTGGTGATTCGCAGGACATTTCGTCTCCGTCCGGAGCTCGGGACCTGCCATCTGCACTCCTCGGAGTAGTGTGAGGACCATCTTGATCCTCCCGGACATCTTTCTTCTCAGCCAACCTCGTAACTGTCTCGTCGACGATTGAAACCTCAACTCCATCCTCACTGCGGTTTTCTTCCTCCCGCTGAATTTTCCTGGCAGCTTTTCTAATTTCTTCTCCGTCCGGAGCTTGGGACCTGCCATCTGCACTCCTCGGAGTAGTGAGAGGACCATCTTGATCCTCCCGGACATCTTTCTTCTCAGCCGACCTCGTAACTGTCTCGTCGACGATTGAAACCTCAACTCCATCATCACTGCGGTTTTCTTCCTCCCGCTGAATTTTCCTGGCAGCTTTTCTTATTGTCTTAAGTTCCTGCGCCGCAGCACTTGCTGTCTTCATCCTATCATAAGGATAAGGTAGGGCGTCGAGGGTGCTACACCCGTGCTTGGCCAGAGTATTATTACGATTGTAGCATAGTCGTCATAGTGCCTGGTATATTCTTCATATTTTTCCACATCGTAAGTCACAGCCTGAAAGTGATTTCCTGCTTCCGAGTGTCTTAAAACGAGAACCAAGGGTAACGTCCCAGCTGCTACCAAGTCCTGAAAAAGTCGTAGTGCTGCATCTGTTGCTAGTGGCTGGATTATCCCAATTTCAACTGCTTCTCCATTTCCCAGTCTTTGGTCTTGATAGCCATACATTTGCACCCTCACCTCGTCACACGTCTTCACATCCAGCACGTAAATCGCTTCCCTCGCGTGAATAGACATCGCTTTGATATGAGAGGGCCAAACCCAGTAAGTCAGAGATACAGCGTCCTTGATGGATTTCTTTCGTTGCGATACGAAGTGTTCTGCCAGAGCACATCGTTTCTCTTCCATCGTTAGGCTCGCTGTGCACCTCTTGCTCACTGCCTTCACTTCAGCTTCCAGTTCTTCGGGCCTGAGGAGACACTCGTCTCGTAAATTAGCCAGTAGAGTGTTGATCACTTGCCGTTTGAGCTCTCCTGCTGCAGCTACCACTTCTGTAGTAGGGTTCATTAGCCCAGTGGTAACATTACCTAGTGCCGCATAGAAAGCCAAGCACCCACATTGACCTGTCCCCGCCACATTCGTCATCCTTCCACCCAGTACTCCCAGCCAGGTGTCCAGGGACGCTCCGTGATCAGAGGAAGGTCTTCCTCCAGTAACTTCACTGCCTGGAGATTGTGGAGTTTGACAACCTGCCTCCGCTTTTTCTTGTGCGATTGGCTTCAATCCGTCTTTCATCGTGTCCTTCCTCGGTTTGTTGCCGTCCGTTGGGAGCGAAGAATCGTCTCTGAACCCCTCCACCATTGCACTGCTGCAGTTCCTGGAGTACTGTAGAAACTGATGCATAAACTTTTGAGTGCCTGATTTACTTGCAGCTTGAGCCAGTCTTCTCGGTGAAAGCGACGAAGCTTTTACCTCCACTGCTTCCCAGGTTACTGTGGATCCATGCCATTCTCGGAGAGTCTTGGCTACTTTCCCTTGCATACCAAAGCGTGATTTCGTGCTCTTCAGCACTTGAACATTTTCCCCTTCTTTGGCTTATAGCTTTGACCCATTTGTTTAGCTTTTCGATTCGGACTGATCTTCCTGGTAGGCGATCGTCCTCTGGCTTCTTGCATTCCCTGTTGTCCTTGTAATCCCCCAGTATCGGGGCCGACAGAGTCTTCTGCAGGCCCTTCCATGTCATGATCAGTCTCTTCTCGGGTAACTGGAGCTTCCACCATGTCCTCGTCGCGCTCATCTGGAGTGTCCATTGAGCTTAACTTCGCCACGTTGGTCTCCTGATACCCTTTGCATGATGTCGTCGATAGATGCCCCTCATTGGCATCTTGTTGGCTTAGTATTTGTCGCACTCGTTGCACTGATTTCTTCTGCTCCATACATTCTCTTGGGAGCGACGGCCTATCCGCAGCACGCGCTGGAGAAACAGTCTTCATGGCCTTCTTCACTTGAGCAGAAGGATTTTTTGTGTCCACTGCAGCTGTATCCCTTTCTCGTTTGTTACTTTCTCCTCCCTTCTTCAGGAAGTGCGTTAACTCCGCTAGCGATGTGGGGTGTTTCCTGTGTTTGTATTGTCTGGTACCGAGGTCTTTTTTTGACGGGGCCACTCCTCTTATCTGTAGTTCATGAATCTTTCTCCTCGCTTCCACATCCACTGGTGGTACTCTGCAGTACTTCGTAGGGTGTTCCGGGGAACGACACCGCATACAGGGCCAGTTCACGTAGACTTCCTTTTGATGTACCACAATTTCGATCTCGCCAACAATGATGAATGATACTCCTTTCAGCTTGGCCGGCCTCTCAGCACCTTTGGTGAGGACTGTCCATTGCTTGTCATTCATTCATATTCCCCCTCCACGGTTTGATTGAGCGCCTGCACTTGCAATCCCAGTTCATCGGTCAACAACCAGTACATGTCTCTTGAGGTGAAGGCTCCTTTTCTCACCGCAGTAGTGAAAGAGTAGAAGTCGATTTTCACAACTTCATGGGTCAACCTCGCTCTTTCTTTCTGCTCTTCGTAGTCCACTAGCGTGAGCAGCCGGTTCGCCATGGGCATTCTCCAGTTGTTCCACCTTTTAGCTTCGCGTTTGCTTTTGAAAGTCACTGTGATTAGTCTCTTAGCCCGATCGATAGTGATTCTAGACACCATCTTCTTAAAGGAGGCAACCTCTTGCTTTTGCGCCATAGCTGCTTCTTCTCCCACAGAAATTTGTTCCAGTAATACCTCTCGAGACTCGTTCTCTCCAAATCGTTGTCCGGGTGCTACATGGGCATAAAGCGGATATTCAATAGCTAGTAGCATATCTGTAAAGCACGCTATCTCGTAAGCGTTCATGGATTGACCCAGGAAAGGTGGCGTGTACGGGACTTCAATCTTCTGCGTTAATATCAGCATAATAGCTGCGTCCTCATCTGGCGTTCGTTGCCGTTGCTGTGTTAGCGTTGGCATAGGTTTTAAACACAGCTGTCTCAATCGTTCTTGCTCCGTAGTTAGAATCTGAGATTCCTCGTCCGACGTTCCCTTGGTTACTGCCTGTCGATATGAACCAATCTCGGCTTGAGAGGAGTCGGCTCTTGAGGGGGGACTATCTGGTTCTTCTTCCAGTTGCAGGAATTGTAGTCTCGTCTCAACTCCCACTTGAGAGAGCTGCTTCGCTATGATCCACTCAGTCATCACACTGCACAGTCTTTGCTTGTGTTCCTCGTTTGTCAGATCCCAATAACTCCACAGTTCTTGGTATTGCACATCATCTTCTTCGTCTGGAGCATCCTCCCACTGGTCTCTGAGCTCCTGTTCGGCTACATTCCCCCCTTCTCCTCACTTAGATTGTTTCTGTAGCTACGAAATCTCCTTTCTTTCGCTAGGGCAGTTAGCCGTTTCACTGTTTGTACAACATAAGTTGTTGGCACCTCAGTAGACAGGTACCGCTTCAGCTGCGCGAATACCTGTTTCCCGTCACCACAGTCGGCGGCTCTCTCCCATCCACGTCCTGAATAGCGATTCCCCGTTGCCTTCTCTTCTTTAGGTTTCGATTTAGATGGATTTTTTCTCGTGTTTTGCTTATTTTTGGGGGAGTGATCTTGAGTTGACTTATTAACCTTGGTACTCTCTTTTTTCTTGTTTTTCTTTTTCTGCACTGAGGTCCACCCTCCGTCATCACTCTCTTCACCAGCTAATGTTATGTTACCAATTGCGCTGATGCCTGCACGCTTGCTCGATCTGTACTACCTTCCTCCTCAGATCGTATCATTGCCATGATCGTTGCTGTTGCCATACAATGGCTCGGCGACTCTTCGAACTTACTTGAAGATCGTATACCAGGGGTTTCAGGCCTTCCACAACCCACCCCTGATCCTTGGTTTCTCCCGGAGCTGG